GTTTAAGGCAAAATTCATGAAGAAAGTATATAAAGTTAATATAAGATCATATTTTTTCATGTCCTTTGGGGGAAAGGAGGCACAAGAATTTAAATAGTTTAAGCATTCTTTTTAGAATATTAGCCATTATAAAGTAACATAAATTTGATACAACAGGACTATATCTTCTCCAGAAAACAAACTCCATTATTAATTCACATTTCTGAATTACTTTTTAGTTATATATATACTTATACAGATATTTCTAATACATAAGACTTTAGGTACTGAAAACTAAAGAAGTCAGAGCATACATAATAATTTGACCAAAGTAGAATAACACTTTTCAGCATCTTGTTGGCATTTGAAGCCCCCGACTTTACAGGAAGCGAAGGCTGGCTATGCAGACAGTCTTTCCCATTGTGTTCTGTTCTTACAACGCCAAGTGGACTCAGAATACAACAAACCTAGCTCAAGTCTGCACATGACTGTTAGAAAGTGATCACTGGGGTCAGCACTGTTTCTCAGGAACACCAGTCTGACCACGTTAACTGTGAGAACAGGGATTCTCAACCATCCCTGTACACAAAACCAATCAACTTACTTATGGTTGCAGTAACAGCATTACCAACGCCATCCTACTTTCTTCCTCCAGCTGGAGTTGTGAATAAACGATTTTATTCAATTTACTTATGGCCAAAAGAATAGAGTATATTCTAGTAAATGCAGACAGTTTTCTGCACGTAATTAACCTTCACTAAGCTACTAGATTTAATACACACATAACACACACACGAGACTGAATATTCTATCAATTACTGAGGCTGACTGATGCTAAGAGAAAGCCTAGCAGCACCCATCAAGACCATCTTCTAAGTGTTCAGCTGTGAGTTAGTGGAATGCTTAATTTAATCCTTAGTAAATAGAGATCAAGAAAAATGTAAAAAGAACGGTGGCACTTACACATACTAAACTATCCCCTTCAGCCTATAGGAAAACGGTGATACAACATGCTATATACCTCAATGACAATATTTTCCTAAGATGCTATAACTTCTTTTGTCATTTGTGGTAGCATATGCATTAAAATAAAACACTATATAAAAGGTACACTTCTTTTCTTGGGGCAGGGTAGCGGTGGTGCTTGATCCTTGGTTCCAGAGGGCTCTTATCTCCTGGTACAGTATGATTAAGATTCCCTCCCCAGAAGCCTCACCCCCCCCCCCCCCCCCCCCACCCCCCCCCCCCCCCCCCCCCGCCCGAGAAACCAGCAGGCCTGTGGTGGCAAAGGAATCTCTCAGATCAGACTTTCTCCTTCAAGTCAATGCAGAAGACCACATGGCCATCACTGACAATTTACCATATAATATACTTTATGTACTGTATTTTGAGTTAAATGGAAGACTTAAGGCACTTACTCTCAGACCACAAAGGATACTGCTACCAACTATACTATCAAAAAGATTACATGATGATGAAAATATAAAACTACATGCTACTGAATCAATGTTACATAATATTAAATCCTTAGCATTAAACACTTTTTTTCTAAGCAAAGAAACAGAGTTACATGCTATAGGTCCCACACCTGAAGCCTACACAGCACCCTTCACCAGGGTCACACTGCCTAGCCTAACTTAAAAACGCAGTACGTTGATTTAAATGGAGAGTAATACTTAAAATCTACTTTTAGATGAAAGGCAAATTAATTAGGTAAAAATTAGGCACTTTAAATGCAGCTAAATAATTTTACATATACACTTTTACTGATAGTCCTATCTAAAAGCACTCACATGGGAACTTAGAGAATAAACATGTTTTTATGCAAAGAGCTACTACTAAATGTTTAATTTGCAGTTTAAAAGAAAAAAGTGCGATTCACCAAGGCTACCTGCTGTACTAGTAACGAGGCCAATGAGAAACTACTTTCCAGCTCTGGTAAGAGCAAGGGTAAGAGAGAGCCTACAGCTTGCTGGCTCTACTTTACCAGAGCAATGGAGCAGCCTCCAGCACAGGGACCAATAGAATAATAACAGTATTAAACTCAGTGACCAGGCTATCAGATGCCAGCAACAGACCACTTAGCAAGTCAATTTTAAAACAATTCCTTATTACTCAACAGAGCTTCACTGGCTTAATTTTCCCTATCCTTTGCTGCTTCTAAAGATTTGTTTTTCTTAACATTCAAGCAAGGAGTCTCTCCTTGAGCCTTCATAAACCCAGTATTTGCAGTGTCTGTCAGAACTGGTCTGCACTGACATGCTGCACTATTGAGAGTTGCCTTTAATTTTTATTTACATCACCCCCAACTTTTTCATATTTGAAGTCAATTTACAATGTATGTTTATTTTTAATATTAGTGACAAAAATTTAAACACCAAGACTTTCAGACCAAAAGGCCCCTCTGGCACACTTCTACTGAGCTGGGTCCGTGTGACTCAAGCAGCTGGGAAGCTGAGGCAAGACTGGGCTACACACAGTAAGTTCAAGGCTAGCCTGAGCTACACAGCCAGGCCCTGTCTCAGAAAATAAAATAGCTGTATTATGAAAATTAGCCCTCGCCAATTCTGCAACTCTGAGAGTTCTTTAGCTGGATAAATATGGGGTTCATAACTAGCGAGGCAGACCACCACCACTATGGCATCCAGCTGACTTCAGAAGATGATCAGAATTTTAAATGGCCAATTCCTATCTCACTAAGCTAATGTCTATAATCTGTTTTCTAAAAAAGGAAAAGGATGAAAAAGGAAGAAAAAAGATTTTAGCAATCATTGGCAGCTCTTGTAAAGGATAAGGCCAAAGATGGATTAAAAACAAAACAAATAAAAGGTAAAACAGCTACCAAAGAAAACTTCATTAAAAGCTATCTATGCTAGGCGTTGACTGAAGTTTGCTTAGCATGCACAAGGCCCTGCATCTATCCCTATAAACCCAACCCCTGCCCAAAAGACAGCTACACGCTGACCTGGCTCACTGTTCACAGAGTTTAACTACACACATAAAAAACACTTCATTGAAAGAACTCCATAGGATAGATACATCTACATGCCACAGGCGGGAATATTTACATTTATGACAGATGAAACAGTACAGCTTCTCTCTAGGAAGCTGGAAAGAGTAGCATCAGATGCTCTATTTACAAGGCTATTTACAAGTAATTCCTAAAAGGCTACTCAAGCTATCACTTAGTACTAGAGGATTAGCAATCAAAAAACTAGAAGTATTTAAACCAGAAGAATAGGGTCCCATCATCTGAACATTTTCCATGAAAATATTCTATGTTGTTTAAGTAAAGTCATCTAATTACAAAGCATTTACAAGTTTGACACTTGGGTACTGTCCAAGTGTCACTGCCTGTCCTAATCCAGCAGTCTGCAGCTTACAGCTGCATACTTGGGAAGTACAAAGACTATAACTTCTATTGTACAATTAATTATGCTAGCACTACAAACATCACTTCTATAAACACAGAAGAAAATTCCTAAATAAAAAATTATCTTACTACACTATCTTGAGGAAAAGGTAAGGGGACTCACTATAGCAGCGTTTCACAACTGCAGCCACGAAACTCTCGTGTTTCATGACATGACACAAACACACAAACCCTGAATTACCCTATACTCTACTAATATAATCTACTAAAATAAAAGCAATATATACAAGAAACCTACCGTGCAAATATTGTCGGCATACAGCTGGCTTCTAACAAAGCACTCTTCAAGATCACCGGCGCCCTCATGTGATCTGAACCTACTGTTAGCGCTTATACATACAGGCTGCTTATTTATTATGAGAGTCAATATTTCCTAATTCCAACCTATAGTTTTAACATTAGTTTTTATTGCGTAATCAACTAGCTAGCAAATCTGTTAATTTCCAATGACAATAATTTGTGTTGCTACTTTTCTCCTACACTTTAAGGATACAACATTTTAGCGTTTTCTGTCCTGTTTCATTGATATTTCTTTCTCAGTGCTCAACGGTTCTATGAGATGAACATTATGAGCTCCACTCCTGACTATCTTCAAATAGTCATGTTATGTTGTCTAGTTGTAGTTTTTCTTTCAAATGCAGAGGAAGTTTTGGTTTAGTATATAATAAAAGCAAAAGAGACACATTTTGGTGCGGAAGAATTGTCTGTATTCTGTCAATCATGTTTTAAATAAACGCTGATTGGCCAGGCAGAAAGTATAGGTGGGAAAACCAGACAGGAAGTAGAAATGATGAGAACAGGAGAATTCTGGGAAGGAGGAAGTTGATTCCTCCCTCTCCTGCCCAGATCACCGCAGCAGCAGGATGTGATCTGTCTCACTGAAAAAGGTACTAAGACACATGGCTAACATAGATCAGAAAAATGGGTTAATCAAGGTGAGAGTTAGCCAGTGAGAGGCTAGAGCTAATGGGCCAATCAACTTTATAACTTAGAGATCTATGTGTGATTTTTCTCTGGGACTAAACAGCTGGGGGTACTGGGCAGGACAGAAAACCCCAACAAACAAGCCAGCCCCCTTATGTTAACAACATTTGATAGTTAAAATCCACCCCCACCCTAACCCACCCCCACTTTGAGACAAGTAATGGCGCCCAGGCTAACTCTGAACTCGTCTTCTGCCTCTACCCCTAGTGCTGGTTTGGAGGTGTGCACAACCATGGCCACATGGCCAACTTTTCTTGATTTAGTCCACGATTATAAAGCAGTTTTTCTTAGATCACTTGCCATCTAGATTTTCCTGTTGGGAAATATTATTATAGATTATTCTATCTTTTGGCAAACAGATTGATCACTCCCATAAGTGTAAAAGCCATGCTTACAAGAGATCATTGCAATTAACAAAATGAAGTTAAGATGGTCATGCAGGCAGGTGGTGGCACGCACCTTTAATGCCGGCAACAGGAGGTGGAGGCAGGTGGATCTCTGAGTTCCTGGCCAGCCCATTCTACATAGAGTTCCAGGCCTGTAGGGCTCGGGTATTATCTACACAGTTCTTTACCTAGCCTGTTAAAGCACATTTCCAAGTGTTCTGCAGAGTGTCAGGTTGCAGGCTTCTCTGAAATCATTTCTAGAATAAGCTTCCATATCCTCACTATGATTAAGGCACTGTAACACATCACAACTAGACTGCATATAGTTAGTAACAATCACACAAAACAAGAGCTGAAGTTTAAATATTCCATTTAAAAGTGATGGTCCACACGGTAACAGTTGGTTGGTCAGAAAGGCTCAAGAACGGATGACGCTCATTCTATTTATAGCCTAGTGTTCAGCACAGATCAGGACGACTCTGGAAGCACAATTGTGATGACGTCTAGTCAACCCAATGGCCCCAGGTAATACCACTCCAGGCTGATTGTGACTGCTCCTCAGAGTGTACCATTCTTCTAGTGTTTGATCAAAGACTTTGTAAAAATTGTGACCAACCAGCTGATGAATTCTGAACTGCCATTCAGAATAAATTACACTCAAAGAACCTAAGCACAGAACTGGACTCTTTTGGAATGGATAGATCACTGCAACTCTTACATGGACAGTCAAGATGAACACTAAGGCTTCCAATCAACTTCAAGCTTCATTTTCTTTTTGAATCATCTTTGCTTAGTGTTTTAGCATTGTCAACACCCACTGCTGCTTAACCAAGAAGGACCTTCTGCATCCTGTGCGCGGCAACACTGGCCTCATCTTCTGAGTCAGACTCACTCTGGGACGTGGAGCTGTGCGAGGCAGAGCTGCAGGGGGAAGAGCATTCTGGAGAACACAAATAGTGCATCAGGGGGAGGCGATACTTCCCACAGAAGTCCACAAACTTAATTTGTCTGACACAGCAGTCAAAATAGACTCCTGGAAAGAAGAATATAAATCAGTAAAAGCAAAGACGCACAGTTTTTTTCTATTAAAAAAAAAAAACCACCACCATTCTGAAAAAAGTTGAATTCCAGATCCTCCTGCCTCCACCCGTCCCAAGGGTCTAGGATTACACATGTGCACAATCACTGGGAGAGCAAAACCGACAGAAACAAAGGCCATTCTACATTTATGCTGGCTCTAAATCTCTGGGTTACAAAGCTAATGATCTCATTTAGTGTATGCAAAATCAAATATACTTTGGTAGATTAAAACTGGTACTTCCCTTACTTGGTTCTTCAGTGCTCCTGAACTATGACCCTTCAGTGAAGTAGAGCTACAGCCAGAGTTGAGAGGAAAGCAAGGTCACCATGTCCCAGACTCTAGCTGGTCCTTTAGAAATACTTTTCACACACCAAGGCCACCCCTATGCCTGCAGTATAACCAAACTATGGAGGTTTGTGCCCACTGTCTCCCTGAAGAAAAATCAACTTCAAGCCCAAGTTTCCCAACTATTCTCTATACCACAATGGACCAAAACAAAGTAATGTGGTCTAATCAAAGGAGAACTCCGCACTGACAAGACCCCCTTGCTCACCGTTTTAAAAGCAGGACCTTACTAGGTAACCCAGCTGGCCTGGAACTCTCTGTGTAGACCAGGATGGCCTCCAACTGACAGAGCTCCTTGCCTGTGCCTCCTGAGTGTGGGAATAAAAGCACGTGCCAATCTGGCTCCCCTGTAACCCTTTATGGTTTACTACTCCGAACAACTGAGAAAGTAGACACATTCAATAGGCTTATAATAAAGCCTTATAACTAGGTTATCTCTAGTTTTCATCTCTAAGCTTTCAAACCATACAGAGAAAATGTCTCATAAATGAGATAATTTTTAACTTATAATTCATTAAGGAACCTGGGGTGGTGGGGATAGGAAAGCATGATTGATTTTATTTTACTTATTTATTGATGTTATCTGAAATTTTAAACTTGTAATTTTTAAGGAATTCCTAAGATAAACAACTCTTTAGAATACTAAAGAAGTCAATAAAACCCGGCAAAGAGAAGAGTTCTTTTCTTTTTAGAGGGCCATTCCCAAAAGGGCAGATTCTGGCACACTGGATTTCACAGGAAGCAATGGTGTGAATGCTGCCTCTTATAAATCTTCACACCCAGTTTCAACAGTTCCTGCCTCTGCCAAAGCTACTTCAGGACAGAGGTCCACAGAGGAAGACAGCAAACCTTGCTTCTGAGGGGAGGTGGCCAAACCAGCTCAGAGAATGCTTTTCTTTTTAAACCCAGCCTTTTTGTCTTGCAACAATCTTGGAGAAATTTAGCTTTTGTTTTCCTCTATCACCTCTCATCTTAAGATGAGGCTTTCTGGGAAAAATCTCCCCTGGCTCTGATAAGGCTGTGCCACACTCTCTCGGTATTTACACCTGTCCTCATGCCAGCACCTTTCCACACTCATTAAAAACTGACTTGCATGGAAGACAGCCAAACATTTTCAAACTATTTTAAGGAATTAGAACCATTTACACTTCTTTGTGTTTCCTTTCATCTGATCATCTTACTTTCAACACCATGTTCCAAAGCAGGAAGACATCCTGGGTATTTTCCTTGTGTTTGAAAGAAAACTAGTGTAAAAATAATTTCTAAGGAAGGAGGACAGGGGGTAAATGCCTTTGTGTGAAGACACTTTAGCTAATTAAATCAAAGCAGAATCAATTTTTACAAATGGCTAAATGAGTGAAAAGGGCTAACACCAGACTCACTTACCACCACATTTTGGGTTTGGGCAATTGCTGGCTGAACCCAAGTATCTAAGGAGATTCCCAGGAAGATCATAGGGAGTGTAAGAAACACTTCGGATCTTAATGGTCCTTGCAGCTAATTCCAGAAGAGTTGGAGGGTCATATGTTAAATCCCTAACAAACCGGACAACCAATGGATTTCCTCGCAAACTCAACTCTTCCAGATGAATAAGGTTGAGGATCTCACGAGGCAGGTATGTCAGCAAGTTATTGTGGAGACTCAGGGAGCGAAGGGAATGCAACCTGGATGAACACAATACACAAGCCAAGGGCAGCGGATGAGCACAACAGCCTGGAAAGCTACGTTTACACACATTTCTATACATACATAAGCACGCCTGTGTGTGTATATTCAGGGTCTGAGCTTTCCATTGGAATGAACAATTAGGATTGAGGCCAATAAAGGAAAAATTAAAATGTCTAAAACAGCTCAAAATACAGCTTCACAAATGCTACCAAAGACTTTCCCTCTGGGATCTTAAGAGTACTCAAAACATTTACAAACTATTCTGAAGTCCTAACTTAAACACACACACACACACACACACTGATAGATTTAAAGACATTGAAGGGCATATTTTATTTATCACTTACACACCCGAAAATGATTTCAGGTATGCTATGAATAATGATCCTTTTCATTATAAAGCCATACCAGGACAGGAGTGCTTAACATCAAATACAAATTGCCAAGTTCCACAAGACCCAAGGAAAGCTATACCAAATATTTCTCTCTCTCTCTCTCCCCCTCTATATATCTATATATATGGATATAGAGGTAGATAAATAGATCTGTATCTAGGTATATCTAGATATAGATATATCTTTAAAAAAAAAACACAAACAAGAAGAAAGCTGAGAGGATGGGTCAGTCTGTAAAGTCTCTGACTTGCACAAGGATCCAAGTTCAATCCGCAGCATCAATGTGAAAATGCCAGTAAAAAATGTCAGGTGTGGTGCAACTTGTAATCCCACAAGTAATTCCCTGGGGCCTTCTGGCCAACAAGTCTAGACCAATTGATGAACTCCAAGCCAATGAAAGACTCCATCTCAAAAGAAATGAATGGCATTCCACATGAGCATGCATACCTGTACCTACCTGCACACATACATGTACTCACACACACACACAAACACAGCAAGCTGAGCAAATTAACTTGGGTAATAAACCAGAACACTTATTAAAAATTACTCAGCTCAAAACAAACTTTTTTTGACTACCTATTTCTTTTCCTTTTCTTTATGAATCAAGTTGGTCTTAAGACACTCCTGTGTCGGCCTCCCTAGTTCTGATTGCTGGCCCACTCTTCATTCTTTCCCATACAGAAGGCAGAGAGCGTTCTGACAGTGGTCCCAACCACAGCTGTCTGTGTTTAAAAGCCGAGACTACTCACTGTGAGAGCTGAGGAGGCACACTCTGGATTTTGTTGTCACATAACACCAAGTAATTCAGAGAAGGAAGATTTGCTAATTCTGGTGGGATTTCTTTAATGAAGTTTCCTCCAAGGTATAAGCATTCTAAACTGCAAAAACAAATTGTAAAAAAGTAAATAAACACAAGATATTTCATTGCCTCCACTGTTACAGACACATTCACCATAGTCTTACTCAGGATTTGCTATAAACTAGCCATAAACTAGCCAGTGGTTCTCAATGCTGCAGCCCCTTAATACAGTTCCTCGTGTTCTGGTGACCCCAACCATAAATTAGTTTCACTGATAACTCATAACTGTATTTTGCTACTGTTAAGAATCATAATGTAAGTATCTGATATAATGAAACTGGTCTTAGGTTAGTTATCCCTGTGATAAAAGGGTCACCACCCATAGGCTGAGGAAAACACTGTGAGAGGCAGTCTCCAGAGAGAGAATGAAATCCCCAGGGAGTTGATACCTTATCTTGTTAGACAAGACACACATGATTAAACCACCAAAACAAGAGAAAAAGAGAACAGGAAGGGTCACTGCAGCTCTCATTGGAAAAGCTTCCCAGAGTACTGTGAACCCAGCTGGGCTATGAACTTAGCCCACAGACAGAAAAAGAGATTTCCAGGTAGAAGAGGGGGCTTTAAAGACTCAACAGGCACATTTGTTAACTAAAGAGAATTTTTACTGAACCCAAACAAGGCTGGAGATGCCAGATTACAGCACCACGAGATTCCATGCTGGCATGCTTGTGTTGGATGCATTTACTAATAGACAACAGGGAAACCAATAGTCCTGGCCACTCCTGGAAAAGGGCAGAAAACCACACAAAGTTTCTACATAAAAGTTTTTCCTTTGCTCTTAATAAAGCAAGTACATTCCTCAGAGGCAACCTGAATAAATTATGTAAAACCAATCATTACTATGAAGTTCAAGTTTTAGGTAAGGCTGTTTACTTAACAAAATAACATCTTAGAGGTAGGGTACATTTACTGTAACAAAATATGACTCCATTTTCTTATGACTGTTGAAAGGCTCCAAAGGGATGATTTTTTTTTTTTTTGCAGGGAGGTGGTAGTCAGCTCTTACAATATTCAAAAATAGACAGAACACACACTTATAATGCATTTGGAACTTGCCCACTACTACTTTTGGTTTTGTTTTTCTGCTCAGAACTATCATTCTTTCAAACACTTTCAAGTAAAACATCAAAACAACAGCTTTAAAGTGGGAAAAATCAGGCTACCACACTGTTATCCAAAACAGGAATTATCTGGTGGGCATTTCACTTTTTGTACATGTGTGTGCAAATGTGCATGTGAGTGGAAGCTAAAGTGAATGTGAGTGTCCTCCTCAATTGCTCTACCCAGAGCTCCCAGAACCACCTGCTCATCAGCCTTCTCTGGTTGATCCCAGCCCCACCTCAAACCATATCCACTGCCGACACTCTAGTTTTCTTAAGATAATTTGATGGTGTAAGAAAGGTGCTATTCTGAACTTTCCACCTATAGAGCTGCAGTTTACTAATGTGTGAAATTTAGTATTGTCTTTCTGTGTTCTGGCCATTTGCATTCAGAGCATTTCCTGTTCATACCATTTTCCCATGGGTTAGGCATTTCCATTAGTTCGCCGAGAGCATTGCTGTTAAATGTGTTCTGCATAGCCTTGTTCCTTTTGTCTGTCTGATACGTATGACAAGAATTCTTAGTGACTTTGTAAAAGGAGCAATTCAGAAGCTCTAGTTTGTCATCTGCCTTCTCACTGGATGTTAGTCTTCTACATAACCATAGTGTTCCCTTGAGAGGTCTGCCTTTTTTTGCTTCCAATATACAAAAAGCTACACTGCAGGCATATCAAGTTTCTGACTTGTAAAACTTGCTGTTGGAGTATTACTTAATTCATATCAAGTATTTCTGTTTCTTTAAATCCATTTTGCTTTGAAATCTACTTCCCTTGACTATGACTAATGCTTCCAGCTTTTGTTGTTGCTGTCAGCATTTATTTCATTCAATTCTACTCCTTCCTGGCCTAAGAATTAGGGTCAGTTATTTGCTACTTATTAAATGGTATAGAATTATAAAGCACACCAAATATCCAGTCAACAAATATGAACACCTACCACGTGCTAGGCATCATTTCAGTGTCGGTCACTTGAGCTGTTGAAGAAGCACGCCTCTTAGGGCACACAGCACTTACAGGAGAAAGGGGGTCAACCAGAAAGTAATTGGAGATGACTCTGCATGGGTGGCCAGGAGAGCTTTCTCTTGGGAGGTTCTGCGATGTGAGCAGAGCTGAGTGAGCTTCAGAAGTCAGAAGTCATTGGATCCCCTAGAGCTGGAGTTACAGGCAGTTCTGAGGCACCAATCTTAGTGGTTGGAACCTAACTCCAACCCTTTCCAAGACAGCTCTTAACAGAGTCATTTCTCAACCCTTTGGTGCATGGGTTTAAAGGAAAGCTAGCTGCGTCACTTCACTCAGTTTAGAAGAATCACAATTAGTTGGGTGAGTGTGTGTGGCTGGAACACAGTGCAATTCCGATGAGAAGTAATATCTTTTCACTTTTAACTTAAGGACTTTTCACGCACAAACAGGGAACAACCTGATTGCTGGTGCTAGGCTGCAGGTTCTACAACAACCTATCTCAGTAGGTTCTTCCTCCAGTTCTGCCTTCTTACTGGCACAGTTCCTTCCTTTCATTCATTTCCCCCACTGTTCTGGGTCATAAATGCTACTTCTATTTTGCTGGTAGATGTCCTTCAATTTCCTTCCACAGCTGGCCTCATCATCTTGCCAGTCACTGTTACTAACTTGTTCCTTTTCCCTTTAGCAGCTCTATGGTCATCCACAGTGGCTCCTATGTGTTCCTATTGTGAATGCCTGGTTCCCAGTTGGAGGTGCTAGTCGAGGTGGGGCCTCGCTGGCACAATTGGGTCACTAGTGGCAGACCTCCCCTTCCCTGGTTCTTGTTGTCTACCATGTAAGAGCCAACCTCTGCCATACATTCCATCATGAACTGAGCTGCTTCCCATGCTTTCCAACCACAAGGCTGACACTGTCTGAAACTGTGAGCCAGTTCTGTCCTCAAGTTACTCTGTTGGGAATTCTGTTCCAGTTAAGCAAAACCAATCACCAAGGCAGCTACTAAGTGATTAATAGGCAGGCAGGCAGGCAGGCCTACAGAGTACTAAGGTAGATGAGGGGGACCAAGAAGCAGAGAGAAGGTGGGAACCAGGGACTGGGTAGCACCTTCAAAGGCCCATTCAGGTTTTGGATGGAGCAACTCAAGATTTCATCATGATTCTCAGAATAGACTGCAACTTAAAAGTGATGAAATGCTTATTTCTAGAATTCTGCATGTAATGTTTCTGGGTCACAGTTGATTGTGAGTACCTGAAAGCCAGTAAATAAAATCATGAATAGATGTGGGAGGCAGCTGCACGTTTTTCTAAGAATTCTAATTGTGTTCCCATAAATGTTCATTTCGAAACTTTCCTTACTATTTCACTGAGAAATTTCCCCATTCATGGCCACCCATCAGATACATTCTCAGGCAAAATCAATCGCTCCCATCTATTAAATTCCACCTGCCTTTTATAAGCTTGCCTTCCCTTGCTCTGGGGTGATTCTAACAGTCAGCCTGAATCTGAAGCTGTCTTTTGTTTTAACTCTTTCAATGGTACACTCTTCTCTAGTTCCCATTATGTAAAGCTTTTCGAGCTTGCGATTCTCTCTAGACAAATGTTAACACTTAGAAAGGTAAAGCAGACAGGCACTCTGTGGGCGTTTATAGTTTTCCTTTCTAAGATTACTCTGTAGCAAAAACAATACAAACCACCTGACCACATAGACAAAGACGCACTCTGGTTCTAAAGCTCATCTTTTCTACCAGTAAATATCTAAATACTAATGAAAAACAAAATCCTAGGCAGACTGTTTTGATCCTACCAAGTCTGGGTTAATAAGTTAATGCTCAGACTCTCAAAGCACAACAGGGAGGAGTTCCAGGCCGGCCAGGGCTACACAATGAGATGTCTCGAAACAAGACAGAGCAACACAACACCAACAAAACAACAGTTTTTGGAATTCACACAACAAAACCATCCTGCAAGAGAAATTATTTTAATAAGAACACTAGTTGGGAGAAAAGTTGACCAAACCTGGATGTTTTAATAAAGAATTCAAAGTGAAATGGCAGCATGCTCCAGAGCGAGGGTAAACACGTACTCTACTTAGGTCAGCGCTATGAACGGAATGCTCTTTCCAGGTGGAAACTAGTCCTTAAGGGGTGACTGTCATCACACATGCTCTGCATGGAGGCTAGAGAATGATCCATGGACTAGATGCCATCCGCCAGTGGCTGTTCTGACTTTGCCAGAGAAAGATCTGAAATTCTGAAATATAGCCTATGATTTTGAAATGATGCACTCATAAATCCTTTTTTGCAACTCATAGATATCACTAATCATGTTATGATCAGAATATTAAACTTACATTGTCAGAATTACTTCTCACTTTCAAACTCAAATAATTCCAAAACTCTAGGGACTTGAAATCTTTCAAGGATTTATGAGAATTAAACTTCTATGCAAACATCTATTCTAAACATCCTTTTCTGTAGTCAGAAAGACAAGTGCTGAATTTAAAGCAAATCATAGTGTTTAAAACACACTGGGGCTGAAGAGATGGCTCAGCAGTTAAGTGAACTGGCTGCTCTTCCAGAAGACCTGGGTTTAATTCCCAGCACCCACATGACAGCTCACAACCATCTGTAACTCTAGTTCCAGGGGACCTGACATCCTCACAAAGTCATACATGCAGAGAAAATACTAATGCACATAAAATAAAAGCATATATATATGTGTGTGTGTGTAAAATATATATGTGTGTGTATATATATATATATTTTTTAAACATCTATCAGCCTTGACCTATTTCATCAGAACTGGGGTAACCCATTCTTCCAGTGTTGACATATGCAGAAAACAGGAAAATAATTCATCACCAAACTAATGGAATGAGTTTTTCTTTTCTTTTTAATATTAATATACCAATCCTGAATTTGTTCCTGATGGCTGGCTCTGCCTGTTTTCTTTCTTTCTTTCTTTCTTTCTTTCTTTCTTTCTTTCTTTCTTTCTTTTTTCTTTGGGTTTTTCAAGACAGGGTTTCTCTGTGTAGTACTGGCTGTCTTGGAACTAGCTCTGTAGACCAGGCTGGCCTTGAACTCAAGAGATCTGCCTGCCTCTGCCTCCTGAGTGCTGGGGATTAAAGGTGTGTGCCATACAACCTGGCTTCTTTCTTTCTGTTTAGTAGGCAGCTATTATAACATTTATTAAAACAATGCTACAAGTTAGTAGAAACAGCAGAAAACCCAGTTCCGCCTGCTTTCTTAGTAGTATGAAATTAAAGGAAATCAACACAAATTCAATGCAAGGTTTTAAACAGGCACACTGTTTTATTTAAATTTTAGCACATTTTTCTACTTATCATCTTGTTGGGGCTAGTCATTCCTAGGATAGCTCCAATAGCTTTAACACTCCAGGGATTGCCATCTCTTGTCTTGTCACAATCCTAAACCACACTAAACAGACACCAATAGACGGTCACTAAAAAAAGACACTGCTTTTTTTAAAAAGATGAGAAAAGGACTCATGAAACTCGCTTGGCTCAGATTCAGTCTCCAAATAGCATCCAGAGTCACACAACCCATTTACTCAGTTTGCTGCTCAGTGTGAAATAAATTTAAACCCTTCTTCAATTAGTTTCTGAACTGAGGAATAAAACCTAAGTTCATTAGAAGAAACTGTGAACCACTCCTACCTTTCAGCACTGTAAACAAAAACAAGCCTGCCTACACAAAGCTGAAAACTTACACTTATTTGCTGAAGAACCTGTATTTTAATGAACAGAATGTATATTTATACGATGGCCTGATTTACTGGGGGGAATGAAGCCAGTCATAAAAATAAACAAAACTTCCAGTACCCACTCGTTTGTTATTTGTCTGAAAGTCATCTTTTAGATTTTTTTTTTTTTTTTTGAGACAGGGTTTCCCTGTAGCTTTGAGGCCTGTCCTTGAACTTGCTCTTGCAGACCAGGCTGGCCTCAAACTCAGAGATCCACCTGCCTCTGCCTCCCAAATGCTGGGATTAAAGGCGCGCGCTGCCACCACCTGTAATTCCTAGAATTTTTTTTTTAATTCAGATTTTTGCCACTAAGGGAAAAATCAACAAGCAGAATGAAGCTACATCTAACACACACAGGAAAACCTGGACAGGCCAATGCACACGAAACCAAGATTTGTTACCCTTCCTGGAACAGTAACAGGTTAGAGAAGGGGAAAATTCTGTTGGTCGTATGCTCTTTTAAAAATTGCTTTTAACTGTTCTGTAAAAGGACAGAATCTTCTTCATATGCCAAAATATTAGACTGGCTCAAGTGGCTCTTGCCGAGATGGAAGGTCACGTGGTCCACCCTCCGCACCTGAAGGGTGGAGAGGCACAGAGCAGGCCAGGTTCACAACAAAGAGCGGTCACAGACTCTGGAAGGACACGGTGCTTAAGAGCTACATAGGCTCCAAGCGACTGTGACACCACTAACCTCCCCATTTGCCAGTTTCAAAATAGTTAACAGTCTGAGAACTGAACCACCGAGCTCTCATTGTGGTCATGATTTGGCTCCAAGCAACTCATTCACATGAAATCTCAGCTTCCTCATCCGTGAAAAGAAGGAAATGAACTAGGTCATGGCCAAAGCTGTTTCTTTTTCTAGGAATACAATTCTGTATGACCCTTCTGGCCTATATCCAACTAGAATTCATTATCTGACCTTTGCTGATTCCTATCAGTAGAGAAATAAAGCACAGGACAACAAAAATCATGATGCAAAAAGTCCCACAATTTATCAAGTCAAGAGATTAAAGACTAACAACCTTCAGTAGCAGGTATCAGGCCGGAAAATCAGATCAACCAGGTGTTAGTGACCTGAAGCGGTTCTCTGGATCACTCAGGCCAGCACAACAGAAGCCTAGGGACTCAGGTCCAAGCCCTATCCACCCACTGTGGAAAACTCATGGGTTTGGTCCACCCTCAGCACTCGACCTCAGAAGTCAAACCCAGTTCTACTACTTAATGGGTTTGTGATCTTGAGATTTCTCTTCTCTGAGCCTTTTTTCTCACCTCATCTTAGAGAATGTTAGAGCCCTAAGATGGGGCACATGGCACCACGTAGTTTTATGTTTTCCATGCATGTATTCTGCCTACTTCCTTTTCAATGTGGAGATAATACTCTCCCTGGGTTCCTCTTAATATGCTGGAATTGAAAAGGTTGAATTACATATCAGAATGAAAGGGAACCAAAGCCTGTCAAACTAACAAAATCTCTCCTTAACTTTCCCACATCCTCTTTCCCAGGCACGCAGCCTATTGTAGACTTCCATCATTTCTATTCTACTGCAGCAGCCTCCTAAGCAGCCTCAAATTTCCCTGTCTCCCCACGTCACAGGAACAAGACGTGTGCACTTGGAATGGAACCCACGCTCTACAGCAGTCTTCAAGCTGTGGTCCAGCCTGAGTGGCCCCAGTTTCTGTCCTCCACTTTCTAGTACAACGCCCATCTTTCAGCAGTTTGGCCATCATTCTCCTCCTTGTGTCAGGGCTCTCACAGCCACTCTTCTCTACTTGGAGTGATCCCAATGGCTCACACTCAGGTTAACCTTCACGGTTCCTTCCTTCAAAAGCCTGACTCAAATGGCACTTGCTCCAGGACCAAAATAGGTCACATCTCCGTTCTTCCGGTTCTCCTGTCTCGAGGGGCTCTCACAGCCCAGGACTGACTTTTAAGCTCTGTAACTTAATAAGGAAGTCTATGCCGCATCAGCGTCTCTACCCTTTGCTAATATATGTTAGATCCATGCGGGCAGGGCATGCTCATGTCTCCCCAGAACCTAAGAAAACGTTGGACACACTAAGTACTCTGTAAACATCTATCAAGGAGCAAATTAAGGGACACGGTGTCCAGATGCCTCATTTTGCAAATAGGACACGTTGAGTGGCCCGCCTAAGGCTGAGATGTTGATTTTTATTCCCAGGTCAATGTTTTCCCTGTTAATTCAAAGGTTCTTTCCTGCTCCACATTCTTTTATCTTGGCTCATCCAGTGCAGGAGCTGAAAATATTTAACAAATGGAAGATAGTTCATTGCTGCTGTTTTACTTCCAACTTCCCTGCAGGGCACCCTAGGGAACTTTCAGTCCCCTTTTCCTGTACCTCCTCGTCCCATTAAATTCCACATTACTGAATAACCTACTTAGGTGAGGTAGACAACTCCTGTAAGGAAGAAATTATAGTCAATAAGATAAACGCAATGGCTTAACAAGTGAGACAGAGACAAAGTATTTTGGCTGTAATTGTCCTGGGAACAGTAAAGAAGGGAGTTACAAGATGGGCGATGGTGGAGTGTGCCTTTAATTTCAGGCAGGGGCCTGAACTCTCCTAGTTCGAGGCCAGCCTGGTCTATAGAGTGAATTCCAGGACAGGGAGGGCTACACAGTAAACTGTCTCAAAAACCTGAAAGAAAAGGAAAAGGAAAAGAAAGAAAGGAATAACGGAAGCAACTCCTAAGATACGACTTTGAAGTGTGAAAGAGGCTTTGCATCCACCCAATCCAATCCACATTTAGCGAGTGTCAAGCTCCCTTTCCAACACAATGGTAAATGCAGATGCTCACTAACTCCACAAACAGTATTTCCAGTTATGCTAAAGAGAAGAGGGATCTGGAAACAGAATAAAAAACAAAGGAGTAGGCCAGAGCACCTCCTACGCCACGTTAAAGGGCACGCACTTTGATGCAAGGGCATGGCAAGTCGTGGAAGACTTGCCCTCCGTTAATGGGTGCCCATTTGGCTGCTTCTCTAGACTCAAGAAATAAGGCAAAGCCGGATTTCGGGGCGCACGCCTTTAATCCCCGAACTTGTGAGGCGGAGACAAGCGCATCTCTGTGAGTTCGCGGCCAGCCTGGTCTACAGAGCGAGTTCTAGAGTCCATCGTTGGGGGGAGGAGTAGGGGAAGCCTGCGGGTAAACTGCCTCGAAGATCTGTGCAGGCCAAACCCGATCCAAACGCCATGACCCACTCGACCTCATCTGTAAGCTCCCACTGGCGATGACCCGGCAGTCCTCGCCTCCAACTCGGTGCCACGGAGCTCGGGCCACCGCCCTGCTCTCCACCCCATCCCCACCCCGTCCCGCCGCCTCTCACCTCTGCAAGTTCTCGATCTCGGCGGGGATGCTCTGCAGCTGGTTGCCGCCCAAGCTGAGGGTCTGCAGCGCCCGCAGCTCCAGCAGCGAGGGGGGCACCTCCTGGAAGCAGTTGCCGCTGAGGTTGAGCACCTGGAGGCTGCGGCAGAGCGGCGAGCGGGCCAGGCCCTTGGGCAGCGAGCCCGGGCCGCCGAGCCGGTTGTTCCTGGCCAGCAGCGTGCGCAGGCCGCTCAGCGTCAGCAGCTCGGGCCCCAGCGCCGTGAGCGCGTTGCCGCTCACGTCCAGGAGCTGGAGGTGCGGGAAGCCGCCGCCCAGCGCCCGCGGCAGCGACGTCAGCCGGGTGTAAGGCAGCAGCAGCCGCAGCAGCGCCTCCCGCGAGCCCCGCCGCTCCTCGGCGCGCGCCTCCAGCTCCGACTCCAGGGCCTCGGCCGACACGTTAAGGCGGGACCAGTTGAGTTCGGCATCCCCGATCGCGGCCTCCTCCATCCCGCCCGAAGCCCAGGCCGCCGCCGCCGCCGCCGCCGCCGCGGCCCAGCGGCGCGCCCCGGAACCTCACGTCGAGCGCAGCGTCGGAAGTGGCGCGGCCCGGGGCGGCCCGCCGCTCACCCCGAGCGCCGCGCACACTCCGCGCGCCGGCCCGAGTCACGCGACGCCTTGCGCCGGGTGCGCGCGCCGCTCGGGGGCGGGCTCCGGCTCACGTGGTGCGCGGCGCGGCGGCCGATGGGAGCGAGCCGGGGCCTGGGCTCGCAGGAAGCCGCCGGGAGAACCGTCCTGGCCGCCGGGGCGAGCTCCGCCTCGCGTGGCTCCGGGGGCGGCGCGCTGCTGGGCGAGCGGAAGCCCGTGGCGCTCTGGAGTCCCGCGCGCGCGCGCGCCCTTTATAGCCCAGCGGCCCGCGGCCTTGGCCCCGAGTAAACAGCTCCGGGGCCGAAGAGCCCGCCCGAGGGCCTGTGCGTCACGGGGCGCCGCCCTCTTTGTTCTCACTTGAGGCCGGGCCCCCAAATCTGTGGATCTGGAGAGCGCAGCCATGACGGGAACTGACCCCGAGAATTTCTAGTCTGCGGGAGAACAGGCCTGGTGGCGCACGCCTCTAGTACCGGGACTGAAATATAGAGGCAGGGATATGGAGTAAGAGGCCAGCCTGTCCTAGGAAGCGAGCCCCAGGCCTGCCAGGGTGACGTAGTGTAGAACAAAGCCCTCTCCGAAGCTAAGGCCCAAATCAGATTTAACTCGATTGCAATTGCCCCATCCGGAAAACATGCTTAAGGACCTTCCCGACTTTCCCTCCAAGATTTTTTTCTTTTGCCCTTTAAAGCAGCGTTGTAAAAAGCCACATAGGACTGGTCGCAGCTCCCACGGTGCAGGCCACTGAGTGAGTTGGAGCCACCATTGAGTGGTCCTGAGCTCCTCTGCAGACAACTAAGCAAAAGGAAAAAAAGGTGGAAGGAAAATAAAGTTCCTATAAGCTATCAAAGAAAAGGAATGTGTGTCGAAGGAGAACTTTGCCCACTTCAACTACAGATCGCGTGGGCTTTGATCTGTCTTCGTGGAAGGGAATGAATTTGGAAGTTGGATTGAGGAGGTCCCTTGGTCTGAGCGAGTTTCCTCTGGACTCGGTTTGAGAAAGCACTCAGAGTCCACTGCAAGTGACAGCCAGAGTTTAGTTGGGAAACTCTTGACTCGGGCTCTAATTTAGTAATTCCTGTTCGTGTATTTTCATCCTAATCCCAATTTCAATCTTTTCTGAAATTGCACTTTGTAATTTTAAAGTCATTAATGAAAATGAGAAAAATACTTAGTGTTTCTTATTGAGCTTAAATACAGAAGAGCTACATGGTTAGGTGTACAACAGATGGCATTGAATTGCTTTCTTCCTAAAAACACAAAAAACCCTGTGTCGTCAGTCATGTAGATGACAGCTTCACGTTTCTTCACAGCTAAGCGTTATGATTGAGTTGTCATAGCACGGTATAGTTTGTCAGTTTAACAACCTATGGGTGAAATTTAAAAAATAAGAAAGACTGTCTCAGGCTTAGTGAGGCAAAAACATAGGCAGGCCGGTCTCTGAGGTAGAGGCCACCCTGGTCTACAGAGTGAGCTCCATGACAGCCAGGGCTACACAGAGAAACCCTGTCTGGAAAAAAAACAAAAACAAAATCTGCAAGTGTCTTGCAGGTATCTGATCTGAAAGTTTCTTTTTTTAAAGTGGGCCTTATTTCAGATCAAACTAACATTCTAGAAGTAGTTCTACTGTAACCGCCGACAGTAACACAAGGTCATGCTTTAAAAAAGTCTATCCTTGGTTAAAAAATAGTGTAAAATAAAAAGTGATTCAGAAAAAGAGCGAAGAGGGCTGGAGAGATGGCTCAGAGGTTAAAAGAACTGACTGCTGTTCTGAAGGTCCTGAGTTCAATTCCCAGCAACCACATGATGGCTCACACCCATCTATAATTAGATCTGGTGCCCAGAACACTATATACATAATAAATAAATTAAAAAAAAAGAGCGAAGATTACACATCAGGTGACAGAGCAAAGATGACCTCAATAGTAGAAAATGAAGCTACGTGGAAAGTTCGAGTAGGACAGAAACTAATTTTTAAAAAAATAAAAAGTGAGGAAAGAGGGTAGAAAATGGAGCTGTAGCAAAATTTTAAGTATACTGCTTGCAGAACTGAGGTGTGACCTATTTTAATAAAGATTTGAACTCTTAGTATCTATTCGTTGAACTTAGGATTAGGATAGATGCAAACATGGATAGAAACTATCTTCTAAAAGCTGAACAAGGTATTGTTTTTGAAGCTCTAATAAGAAAACTGTATCAGTGTAAACAGGTATCTCTTCAGTTAGAATAGGCCCCACACAGGAAAGCTCTAACAAGAAAACTGTATCAGTGTAAACAGGTATCTCTTCAGTTAGAATAGGCCCCACACAGGACAGCTCTTCCTTTTCCCTTTTGTGCAGTCCCCTACGTTCAGCTCCCCGTCGTTGCAAGTATGATTTCTTTTAATGCCAGTGTACTAAGTAGTGGGTTTCTTCATGACCTTTTCATACACGTGTATCATTGTATTTGCTCCTTCCCTTGCCCCTCCCCCAACTCTTTCTTCCCTGCAAACTATCCCCTCTGCTTTCCTGTTCTGCAGGAGGGCATGCAATTGTCTTCTTCTTCTTCTTCCCTCCCCTTCAGAACAAACCCTTCTAATCCTTACACACACACACACACACACACACACAATCAAATGCACACACGCAAACACATCTATCTATACATGTATCTAATCTACCTATAGAGAGATTTTGATTCTAAGCTGTAGATTCATGTATGAGAAAAACCATGGGACATTTGTCCTTCTGAGTCTGGTGTGCTCCCCTTTACATGATGATCTCTGTTCTACTCTGTGGGGTTTTTTGTTTGTTTGTTTGTTTGGTGGTGGCAGTGGATTTTTTGTTTTTGTTTGTTTTATATGTGTGGGGTTTTTGGTTTTGTTTGTTTTGTTTTCTCTGTGTAGTAGCCCTGGCTCTCCTGGAACTCACAGAGATCTGTCTGCCTTTGCCTCCCAAATGCTGGAATTAAAGGCATGCGCCACCACAGCCCAGCTCAAGACTGGGATTTTAAGAACAGATAGAATTAACGCTGCAAAAGGTATGTTATAGTCTCCAACACATTTCACCACGTTTTATAAAGCAGATATAATATTTGCTTTTCACACTTAATAAATAACAAGACTGGGATTTTTTTTTCTTTTTTTTTGGTTTTTGTTTTTGTTTTTCGAGACAGGGTTTCTTTGTGGTTTTGGAGCTGTCCTGGGACTAGCTCTTGTAGACCAGGCTGGTCTCGAACTCACAGAGATCCGCCTGCCTCTGCCTCCCGAGTGCTGGGATTAAAGGCCCCAGCCAGGTGTACTTTTTTAAAATTTACTTTTATTTTTTCTTCAAAAGTTTTTTATTTATTTATTTATTTATTTATTTATTTGCCTGCACGTATGTCCGTGTGAGTGTGTCAGAAGCCCTGGAACTGGAGTCACAGACAGTTGTGAGCTGCCTTATGGGTGCTGGGGATTAAACCTGGGTCCTCTGGAAGAGCAGCCAGTACTCTAAACTGCTGAGCCATCGCTCCAGCCTCCGGGTGTAATTTCTTTCAGATGATTTTCACTAATTGGACTAGTGTGTCGTGTGTCTGACTTACCGGGTTGATTTTTATTTTATTTTATTTAGTGATTCGGTTAGATTGAAAGAGCCCTGAGAGGAGTGTCTTCAGTTGTGACTTTGTCCCCAATCTCCACAGTGACTACGCTTTTGAGTAGCAGTGTATTTATAAATATTTTTAGTTGAAAGAGGGCTAACATTTATTAAGCACCCACATTTATCAAGAACTTGATATTTCATTTGATTTTCCACATCAGATAAATTACATTTTAAACAACTTGTAATTTGATGTAATTTATTTAAAGGAGCTTTTGGCCCCACTTTATTTTTTTTCTTTATTGATGTTTTATTTTTATTTATTTATTTATTTATTTATTTATTTATTTATTTATTTATTTAAGATTTCTGTCTCTTCCCCCCAGCCGCCTCCCCTTTCCCTCCCCCTCCCCTAATCAAGTCCCCCTCCCTCTTCAGCCCAAAGAGCAATCAGGGTTCCCTGCCCTGTGGGAAGTCCGAGGACCACCCACCTCCATCCAGGTCTAGTAAGGTGAGCATCCAAACTGCCTAGGCTCCCACTAAACCAATAGGTGCAGTAGGATCAAAAACCTATTGCCACTGTTCTTGAGGTCTCAGTAGTCCTCATTGTCCACTATGTTCAGCGAGACCGGTTTTAACCCAGGCTTTTTCAGACCCAGGCCAACTGGCCTTGGTGAGTTTCCGATAGAACATCCCCATTGTCTCAGTGTGTGGGTGCACCCCTCGCGGTCCTGAGTTCCTTGCTTGTGCTCTCTCTCCTTCTGCTCCTGATTTGGACCTTGAGATTTCAGTCCAGTGCTCCAATGTGGGTCTCTGTCTCCTTTCATCGCCTGATGAAGGTTAATATTCAGGAGGATTTGGCCCCACTTTAAAGGGGAGGAACCCTAAACTGAGAAGAGTAAATGTCTCCTATGACATAGACAGTGATAGCATAGTAGAAATTTAGCATCACGTTTGTGTGGCTCCAAAGTCCGTGACCTTTAAATTACGACACACCGACTCATTGAACTTAGGCTCATGTGCTTTCTTTTTCCTTCTTCAGAATGATAAGATTGTTCAAATAGTGAGTAGATAGGATTTCAAAGGACATCTACCCACTTTGTGGCATTTCAAAAAATATTGTGATTACTAAAGTTAAAGGACATTTGTTGAGGTTGGAGATTTTGTGGGCATCGAACACACAGCCAGAGTGGACCACTTAGGTGAAAACAAAATTCGAGGTGCTGTGCTTTTTCTGTGTGACTGTACTTCAGGGTCACGGGCCTGATGGGTGCTGAGCAAGACAAGCCAGTCTGTAGACTGGAAACCTATCATTTGTACAACACTGCCCAAGTGAAGAGAATCACAAGTGTGCACCTGTGTCTGTGTTCAGTTCTTAGTCTCTGGCAGGAGAACCCAAGCAGCCCAGAGGGAAATTATGGAAGCAGACCAGAAAGAGACATAGAGTGC